ATATCTTCTAACTATTTTTGAATTACTGGCGGAATTTTACTCTCTATCAACTTATTGCACAAAATGCTAAGGATATGGTAATTTTAAATTCATCTATTTCATGAAAGCAAATATTACCATAATCAATTAAAGTAAATTTGCAATGAAAATGAATCCTAATTGATTAACCTGGAGGAATATCATTATGTAGCATAGGAAAACTATCAAATACAATTGGAATGAGTTTTCTCAATAATCGAAACCATATGATTGATTAACCTCCGATACCTGTCTTCTTACCTTCTCCCCCTCCCATCCTCTTTTGTTTCATTGCAAAGAAAAGCAAGTTTCATTAGTTAAAGAAAAACACTCAAGATGCATAAACAAATTACCTGATGAATTCCACATAATTAGAAACTAATAATTGATGGCTTTCATAGGATTAGGACTTGATGATCGTTAGCTTCTTCATAGAATTAGAACTTAATGATTGATAAAATCAAAACATTCTAATCGATTTCTTTATTTTTACAAAAAATTATTCCAATTAATCCATTGCCTTCTAACACTGATAAATAGATAAGCATATCAGCATTTGTCTCGGCTATTGGAGGAGTGTTAATGTTGATCACCTTGTTGCGCTGGATCAACATATCCAGTATCCAGTATTGCAAAAAAAAACCATTCAATTTCATAAAAGGCTGAAAGTCTTCATGAATCTTTGATAAATATAAGTATTATCTCTTATAGCATTTGATATTTTAATGCTGAATTATGAAAATTGTTTTCTTTTCGCTTATCTTCAACACAAATCCATGAGAATATTATTCTTGAAGATAAAAATTAATGATGTTTTTCCTTTCTTTTTTTTTTTTATACAGTAGAAATACTTAAACCTGCTTATACTGGTTAATAATCTACAGCAAAAAAAATTTTTTTCCCAAACTATTCCTTATTTCATTCCAAATCACTTTTTTTTTCTGCCAGTTAATTAGAAATATTATAACTTGAAATATAATGTTTACATTAGTTAAAATATGTCGGAAAAAAGCGAAATAATGCGTTAAAATAGTCAAAAATTCTTTTTATATGCTCAAAATATCTTTTAGTAGTTAAAGGAAATTCATAAAATAGAAAATTGTCACATAACGATTGTCTTATTTCGATTATTTTATAAATAACTGATTCATTGATAATTAAGCTATTTGAAATCTTCAACATAATGATAGGAATATTGTAATGATCCTCTTATCTGATAATGATACTCATTTTAATTATTTTCTGGATTTAGTCACCGAATCCGAAATGATGTCACTGTTAGATACCTTCCTTTTTTTGCCCATGAAATAAACCAGAATTTCATTTCCACGGACATCCTCTTGTCGTAGGGGTGAGACTTTCAACGAATAAAATTGAACGGTTTAGTTGCAAAATATCTTCGCCTTTGTCGATGGTTTAGAATAACTAAATTTTACTTTATTCTTTGTTCTTTCTCGTTTGGATGAGTAATATTTAAACCAAATTTGCAATTATTCCATACATTCATCACATGGAAGATTTTATTGTGACAGAACGCTAAGAAATTTTTTTGTTCCATAATAGCCAATAAACTGTCAATTATATGTTATAAAGTCAAATTTAGAAAAAAAAAAAAAAAGGGAAAGAGAAATCCTTTCATTTTTTGCACAATCCATACTTGACTGAACATTTTTCGGTATGACAATCACTGTTCTTCCTGCATGGTTCGCCAATCTCATATATAAGCTTATTTCGCATATTTCCACTAAAATTTTACTTTGCAAGTGAAATTAATGAAGTATGGAATGTTTCCGATCAATTCAATATGGCATAAATGAAAGAGAAATTATTTAAGATGGATATTTTCTTGAAATGCTAATTTGAATTACATCCTTTGACAATAATACAAAAGCTTACGCTGGCCGATAATGGCAAACGACCATCAGTTTCCTGCCACCATTGCACTTTGTAGCAATACCACAGCCAATTTTGTACGTTTTACCCCAAGCCATCTGAAAATAAACGTTACAAACAAAATTTATAGCAAGTCTATTCCCTGATTATATAGGTTATCTGATTTGATATTCAACTTTACCCTTCAAATCAAGGTTGAATTTCTAGAATTGCTCCAAAAGCAACATTTTAGCTCAACATTTTGG